AAGCAACGAGTGAGGAGGTGGTCGCTTATTTCGAGGTGAATTCAGACCAGTAGAACTGTGTTTGAACTTATCTCTGCCAACCAAGCGGCCATTATTGCATCTCATTACAACAAACTTTCTGGTTCATTTGCACCTTCATTCCGACCAGGTCGAGACCGCCGTGGCTTAGTATAAAGGATTGCATGTCTCTTTTATCAGGAAGGCTAAGCCGGATGTCTTTTCTTCTATTTGTGATCTAATATATAGCCGACAAACGAAATGCAATTTTCTAAGTGGTTGTTTGGCAGATTGAAGTCTTGTCTTAACAAAGCCCACATAAGTTCTTGCTTAGTTTTTCTTGGGTTTATCTCTCGAGATGACACGTAAATGGATCCATGAAGAAGTTAAGACGCATGGTAGAAAATGGGATCCCCGACACCACTCAGCTGTTTTCTTCGATTATCTATTAGCCAATTTTTACCTTTGAAATAACGGGGTGATTGCTGTAGCTTTTTTAGTGATCGGTCGGAATCTCATGCTTCGCGATGTTTGTAAACTTTTTATTCACGTAAAATGGTGCACCACAAATCACCGTGGCCTTTCTTTCTCTGGTACATGACAGACAATGTTGTTCTTCCCCATTTAGCCTGATAAACTGATCACGTTTGTTTCCTCCCATATATAAGCACACATTTGTAAATGCCCAATGATGAAGTTACGAGAACAAGTTTGTTTGCTCTATTGTATGTCTTTTGATGTTATTATGGAACCCTCCACACATTTTGGTTATCTTCAAATGACTCAGTCCGGTAGTGGGTGTCGGGTTCCAGAATGACTAGTCGTGCCGAACTCCTGTAGAAATGCAAACGATCAAGCCTCTTAAGTTACTACTTCTGCCGTGAAAGTTCTACCCACCCCCTTCTGTGACGGAAGTATTGATATTAAAGTTGGTAAACAAAGCGTCGAATACCCGACGCTTTTAACCGGGTTGAGTGACCATTGATAGTTGGTTAAAACTCGTATCCCAAGGGAAATCTAGATACCCTGGATAGTTGATCACAGTCACCGGCTGCTAGAGGATCGTGCAGTCCCTACACCATCCCGCTGCCTTTCAGGTCAGATTCTTGAACCGAAGACCTTGAGTTGCCCTCCTCCCTACGAAAACCCTTCGTTTTGGGCAACTGGATAGTATCATGTCCGTAACCTAACCATGGATTTATGCATTCGCGCATGTCTCAGTTTTTACACTCACGCAAAACTCGCTCTTCTAAAAAACTGCACACAGTGCTTTCATTTGCCTCTCCCCACCCACACTCACAGTTCAGTTTTTACAACCATTAACCATGCGGTGCCGGTTTTGGCTGCCCGTTTGGATTAAGGAGTAGAGCAAGGTTGAAAGTAGTGTCGAAGGGAAAATGGAGAATCCTAGTGGGCTAAGAATGCAAAGGTATTGAGATGCACGCGCGCCACTTTCTACGACACTCAGCATCACTAACGATTGGTTACAATGAGCCCGAGGTCCACATCCAGGAAGCCAAACGCGATCTGTATGACCGAGCCTCCTGGTCATTCACAACAAACCCTTTATCAACAGGAATAGGTGAGTGGGGAGTACACAAAAAAGGATGCAGAATCTGGCACTATTTTTCAGCGGAAACCACAGTCTTTATGGTATCCGCTGTGCATCTTTTGTGAGTCAACTCGAAAACGATCATCTCGAGTCCCGAATCCAACAATATATATATATATATATATATATATATATATGCCGTTCGGTACATTAAGTACGACCAGAGTGGCGATACATCCTTAATAACGCACGTGCCACGGGTGAGGACGTTTTTCGATAGGACTACAAACACATTTAGGTTTGTTGTATGATCGTCATGCTTTTACGCTTTGATGTACCACAATGATGATAAGTCGGAGCACAGAATTTTTTTCGATTTATTTTAAATCGCAATAGTGGACGAACAATCATGCTATACAAGGCTATATATGCTGTGTGCTCTGGTTTCGCCCACACATCTATCGATCTAGTTAACGGCAAACGCTGGATTTGCATAGTGCTACCACGGTTTCCCCGAACATTCAACAAAAAGAGAAATAGCAATATTTAGTTTATACATATTAATACGTGGAACCGACAATTACATAAAGTACATAAGTCACGGTGAAGGGCATAATCATATGTACAGAAAATAAACCGAGGATGAGCACATACTGAACTGCATAATTCGGGTTCACAATCAAAAAAACATACAAGACAGATCGATATAGGTGACTAGTTGAGCCGCAAAAACTGAAATGATGAGATGAATGAATATGGGAAACAAATGCGAGTTTTATAAGAGTGGAGATGGGTTTAACGATCATCCAGCGTTATTTGATGTTACCGTGTGAGGATTTATGGGGAGAAATGTAAACCGTAAAACAGGGTATTGTAAATATAGTCGTTTGGCAATCGCCAAAATGGATACCAGTGCACAGGTAAACACGGAAAACGGATTTGACCTTACTGAAAAAGATCTTTACAACGACAGAAATGCTCAGGAGTACAGGAAGATAGAAGATGAAAATCAAGAGTTACTGTTCAAGCGCAACGGCCGGGCAAAATGGTATGCTTAGGCAAACAACATAGTTTGCAATTCCGTCTACCGGAAGCAGTGCGCGATCTTGGAAACTAAGTATAATTTAGTATTGAAACACAACACGATCGAACAAATAAAAAAATAAGTATACTCAGAAATTGCACAGTTTAACCATCCATTGGTCACAAACCGGTCGATCGAAGTTCACAAAAGGCCTCAAGAAGGACACATATGCTACCTCGAATGCAAGGACTGAGCAGTGATGGGGTTAACAATGGAAAATTGCGAAAAATCCGGGATTTATAGCATAAGGGTAAATGTGTGGTTGTGTGAAACACCAGCTCAGGAACAAGCTTGGTGCAAGCGCAACACCAAGAAAGTAAAAACAGGCGAAAAAGACACTGAAGAGATGACGAAATGCAAAGTAAATGCTGCCGGCAGCACCTGT